TACAACGGCCTAGTCATCCAGATTGACGTTAAGGTTAAACACGGCGATGTAAACTGCCATTGATGTCATGAAGATCTATTAAAAAATACTGGTATATGTTATAGCATTGCAACCAAATGAAACTACGGTAATGTCACTGAACATCTGTGGTATGTATCACACAAGCTTATCATACTTCAATTCCCAATATAAAAAATAACTACACCAGTGTAGGCAATTGATCAAAAGAGTGAGTTAGTGTGCTTGCTCATTCGCTTACGAGCACATACCACAATCGGTATTCTTATAATCGCAACAAATCAATGGTTTAAAGAAGACTTACCTGATGAATTCCATGGTAGATCACCTGTCCCCCCATAATCCCAGATGTTAAATGTGTCCTTGCTGATCCTATGCCATTTTACCAATTCTTTTTTGTAATAAGTTCCTTTAATAACATATTCGACAATCTTTTCACGAATTGACAATGGCAAAGATTCGGTTTTTTGTGGTCCTTCATTCAGTTGTAAATCTGCAAATGAATTAGCTTAAAAAGTAAGCCTGTTGTGATTTATATATATGTATACATGTAGACACTAGATTACAAGGGAACAGTTACCCGAGATTACCTTAATACCTCTACAGCTATAATTCAATTGCTTCTGTTCTTGTTAATCGTATTGAAAGGTTTCACTGCTGTTTTATGTGTTTTGTTGCTTATAAACAAACTGACCCAATTAATCTTACTAAATGTTTTTCATCTAAAGTTTGTAGAGTATTCCTGGCCCGGGATTTATCAGTCTCAGATTAGCAAATGTCTTCAAGTCAAAAAAGTTAAGATGTGCCTAAGCAAATATTTTACACTTATTATTCAAACCATCTTAGAGAAACCCTAGTACAAAAATCGTCTTAAGCCTGGTTTCCTGTCGACGTAAGAAGACAGATTTACTTATGACTATGTGGTTTTGTCGTAACAAAATGCAATTTGACAGAAAACCGATTGCGACTCTTACGTTGTGAAATCGACGTAACGTAAGGTTAAATCGTAGCAGAACAGTGTTGGACAGATAACCGATGTAATGACCTTTCAGGCTGTCTCTTATACACATCTTACTGTAGTCGTAGCCGTACTTACTTGGCCTAGGCCAAGAGTTAAAATGTACTCTAGGCGTAGGCTAGTAATAGACCTAAGTCCTAGGTTAGGCCTGCATTGTTTCCTAGGCCGGTCATATTGCCTTGTCCTTAGGCCTGTGTCTCTAGGCCTAGCATAAACTTATTTTACGAGAACGGTGAACCGACTTCTGTGTTCACTGTTTTCGTTACAGCGACGGCCGTGGTTGACATTCGGCCTAGGCCTGGTCCATATTTTCAGTTTGTGCCCTTTTTTTCTTTTCAATGCTAATCCCTACAAACCCTGTATCTTATACACATCTAGATGTGTATAAGAGACAGAAAGAAATGTGTTGATGGTGAGTACGGAAATTTATTTATTTTTAGTTTATTTCATTTATTGTTTTATACTTTCCTTCTTTGGCGGGCTAACTAGCCTAGGCCTAGCCTAGCCTAAACGCACTGGTACCGCCTCCTCTCCTCCAAGTAAGTACTTTAGTCGTAGCCGTACTTACTTGGCCTAGGCCAAGAGTTAAAATGTACTCTAGGCGTAGGCTAGTAATAGACCTAAGTCCTAGGTTAGGCCTGCATTGTTTCCTAGGCCGGTCATATTGCCTTGTCCTTAGGCCTGTGTCTCTAGGCCTAGCATAAACTTATTTTACGAGAACGGTGAACCGACTTCTGTGTTCACCGTTTTCGTTACAGCGATGGTGGTTGACATTCGGCCTAGGCCTGGTCCATATTTTCAGTTTGTGCCCTTTTTTTCTTTTCAATGCTAATCCCTACAAACCATCCCCTATACAAAAAGGTAAGCTGCTTATATTTAAGAAATTTTGAAGAAGACAATAAGATTCCCTAACCCATTTTAGCAGGTTTATAGTTAGACCTGTCTCTTATACACATCTAGATGTGTATAAGAGACAGCCCTAATACCCACTATAAGTCGCTTGACCCGAGGCGCCGATTCCTTCTACTCTGGAGGAATTGGCAACCCATTAACCTGCTGTTATTGTGGTGAAGACGGTGGATCAAGGCCGCAAGAACTTGTTATAAAATACAAAGTGGTCTTGCCCATTTGTGGTGAATGCCACAAGGTGGGTCGAGAATGCCCACGTCATTAATAATGCAGGGATATGTAATATGATTGTAGGCTTATATGATGGCTTTGGCAACGTACACTTGTATATTCACAATAAAAATGTTTAAATGAATTAAAGAAAATTTGTGTTCATTCATTTCTTTATTGAAATTCAAACTTTCACAAAAAACTAAATAAAAAATCATACACATATGCTGAGATACCAACATGACCAATATCAAATGAAGCTGGTGAGCTCGACCAGGGAAATATTTTCAGTTTATACTGTACATTAAAAAAAAAAAAACAAAAAAAAACACTTTTTTATCCCACCCCTAATGACATTTACAAACATTTATAAAGACAGTTTTGGTATTTTTCTTTAAAAAAAAAACAAAAAACTTTTTTCCACCCGCCCCTTCACTTAAATATTTACAATGTGACAGCAAACAAACCATTTTTTTTTTAGGCCTAATAATGGTATAAAAATAATGTAAATTATAACAAAGATAAAATATTATTATGATAACGATAATATAATTATAATGAGAAAGATGATGTAAATGTGACAATAATAACACATTTTTAAAACTGATATTTGTTAATGTCTATATATATACTACAACTTTATACAGTAATATGTCCTATGATGTACTATAACAAAACAGTAGTATAAATAACAGATAAAGGTGTTGATATCGGAAAATATACAAATGTCCTTTTAAAAAACATTTAGTCAATGAAATATATATTAATAATACTAAATTTACCCCTGATGAATCCATTACAACGGCCTTGTCATCCAGATTGACGTTAAGGTTAAACACGACGATGTAAACTGCCATTGATGTCATGAACATCTATTAAAAAATACTGGTATATGTTATAGCATTGCAACCAAATGAAACTACGGTAATGTCACTGAACATCTGTGGTATGTATCACACAAGCTTATTATACTTCAATTCCCAATATAAAAAATAACTATACCAGTGTAGGCAATTGATCAAAAGAGTGAGTTAGTGTGCTTGCTCATTCGCTTACGAGCACATACCACAATCGGTATTCTTATAATCGCAACAAATCAATGGTTTAAAGAAGACTTACCTGATGAATTCCATGGTAGATCACCTGTCCCCCATAATCCCAGATGTTAAATGTGTCCTTGCTGATCCTATGCCATTTTACCAATTCTTTTTTGTAATAAGTACCTTCATCACCATATTCGACAATCTTTTTACGAATTGACAATGGCAAAGATTTGGTTTTTGGTGGTCCTTCATTCAGTTGTAAATCTGTCAATGAATTGCTTAAAAAGTAAGCCTGTTGTGATTTATATATATATGTATATATGTATATATGTAGACACTAAATTACAAGGAACAGTCACCTGAGATTTCCTTAAAGCCCCATTCCCGGCAAAATTTCACTAAAAATGACTTTTTTTAGAAAATATGCATTTGCATTACTCCAATTATTATAAATCATGGAAAAATATTGGAATGAATTTTAGTTTTACGCAACAGAATAAAAAAAATGAGAAATACAGACTAATTCTCATAAAATATTACCATTTTCTCGACGAATTCATCGTTACTAGGCAAATTCAGAGGTTGTAGATCGCATCCACTGGAATACTCTCGCTTTTATGTATACTTTATACAGTCAATAAAGTGCGCCCTCTCTAATGAGATACTTTTTGTACTTCGCATCTCGCACAAATGCGCTCGTTCGGTTAGGCTGAGATATGTTTGTTTA